AGCAGGGAATCAAACCCGGTTCTCCCAGATTAGAGTCCGCGCACTTAACCACCACACCAAACTTAGTTAAGAGCCTTGGGGTTATACTAGAATCAACATTAACGCAGCTGCAAAAAATGCTTTCTTTTAACCCAGTCTGGCCTGGAAGATGGCCTCCTACCTTGGTACGGCCAATCCAGCCACCAGCATCAGTGCCATGATAACACTGAGACGAGACTACTGCGATGCACATTATATTGTTCACCTCAAAATCAAAATCTGTTGTCAGGAAGCTTGATGAAGCGTGCATATTAATGCCCGATCTGCAGTCACCAGTACAATCAGAAGTTACACAGAACACCATGGCAGCTTGCTGACACTTGGTCCCTCATATCTGCAGGACTGCCTCTCCCCCTGTGCTCTACCATCAGCCTCCTGCAGGTGCCACCCTGCCAATGGGCAAGACCAACCACTGCTCCAGACCAACCACGTGCATTCTCTGCTCCAGCCTCCACCCTTAAGGAGCAACCCAGCTGAGGAAGTCGGGAAGGCTGCTGCTTTCCTGGCTTTCAGCAAACAACATGTGAATAATTCAGGAGAGCCTTTCTACACAGATAATGGGGCTGTACTGGAACAAAATGGTTCAGGAAGATACTTGGGTAAAGGCTTAGTGACCGTGGGGTATACCACTGTCTACAGCTCAGGCTGCCAGTTGTTGTTAATTAAGATGGTACTGTGTCATTTTCCCATCATTAAATGCGTCATGTTAATACTTATGCTCAGGGGTCATTTCGTAGAAAAAGAGGTGCAGGAGCTCATTTGCATAACTCATTAGCATAACTTGTTTGCATATGTCACACCCCCTGACAATCCAGCCACACCCACCTTTTGCTTGTTATTCTGTTTACCTTGTTTGTTGTCAAAACCCAGGGCCTTTTTTTGCAGCAGGAACTCCTTTGCATGTTAGGCCACACACCCCTAATTGTACCCAATCCTAATGAGTTTCTACTGTTGGGTGTGACCTATTATGCTAATGAGTTCCTGCTAGGCGTGGCCAACTTGGGAGCCAGCCGGAACTCCGTTCCTGTGCGTTCCTGCCCAAAAATAGCCCTGCTGGGTGGTACACCACTGTCTACAGCTCATGCTGCCAATTGTTAATTAAGATGGTACTGTGTCATTTTCCCATCATTAAATGCATCATGTTAATACTTATGCTTCACTTCACTTCTGTTTCCCGTTTTCTGGTTGGTTCCAGACTTCTACAATACAAATTCTACTGCATTCTTCTACTGAATGTCCCATCCTGATGACTGTATTGACTTTCTGTGTGTAATCTGTCCTTGTGAGAAAGGCGGACTACAAATAGCATCAATAAAATAAAAATCATGGCTGAAGCTCTTTCCACAGTTGGAGCATTGACACCATTTCTCCCTGGTTTGATTTTTTTATAATGCAGGTTTTATTATTCTTTTAATAACCAACACTTATAAAGGACAAACTATGATTACAAACTACAGATTTCAAACCTATGATTGTACCACTACATAAGTTCATATAATTTCCATAGATTTTGACCTAAATAAGATTAATACCTCATAACAAAATGGACCTCAATTCATCATGATTCTGGCCTTTCTGAAAGGATGCAAGCCTAATCATTAAATAAATTTCATTTGATTTATTTGTCTGTTCATTCATTTTCAGGATCAGATTTAACTTCCAGTATGTCGCAAATACCAATCTTGCAGCTGCCATCAAATTCAATGGAATAATTTGCAATATCCTTGGAATCATAGCAACATAATTTAGAGAACAATCCTAAGCAGGTCTACTCACAATCCTACTCACGTCGGTTCAGTGGGGCTTACTCGCAGGAAAGTATTTTTAGGATTACAATGCAAATAACATAATCTCAGGAGCATTTACTATCTTTCTATTCAAACCAATATTTCACAAAGCTAGTATTCTATTCCCGTACAAAGTTTCCCTTGGGCAGAGCCACCACATGGAGGGGGAAAAAATCTGCTGGTACAGCATGGCAATACCAGCAGTCACCACAGCAGGGATTCTACATTTCAGCTATCATTTTTGAAGTCATATACAATGTACGAATCATTTTGCCTGATCCGTCCCAACCGCCGATAACGCACACTAAAAAAGAACCACCTACCTAGATGGTTGAATCCAGTACAGCGCCTCAAGCCGGGACGTGGGATCGGCCGGCCAGCCTTGCGCCGGTGCATCCCGGCCCCCGGCCGTACAGCGCATGCTTGAGCATGCGCAGTTCGGCAGCCTCCCCCTCCCATCTGACTCTTCCTCCCCGGCATCTGATCGTGCCGGGGAGCGATGCGCCGCGGCACAGGGGATCCGTGGGATCCCGCCACGACGTCTCAACTTTGGTGTGGCTCTGATTAGCCGCAGTTCAGCCATCCTTTTCCCTGCCGTGTGGCAGGGACCCTTGAAATGCAAATCAACTCAAAAGGATGATCCTAAAGATAGCTCAAATTTCCAGACATTCCCTGCTACTTCATAACTTAGAACCTGGTTCCATTTACAAAAGAAATGAGAAGTTAAGCGGGGTCAGCCCTAGTTAGTATTTGGATGGGAGATCACCACGGAATACCAGGGTGGCTACATGGAGGCAGGAAATGGGAAACCCCTTCTGAATGTCTCTTGGCATGAAAACCCTACATGGTCACCATAAATCAGTTGCGACTTGATAGCAAAAAACAAAAATAGACACAGAAGCAAGAATCAGGCCATAGAATCTGTAGAAAGCATGCCTTTGGGGCTCTAAAAGTACAGTTACCTTCTGAAACGATCTTCCTCCATGGTATAATACAAACTAGTTTAGCTACATCATGACACATTCTAATATTTGAGATAATCAAACCTCTTGATATCCACCTAGAATGAGCTACAAGCCAAGTTACCTTACGCTTTTTTGTTTCCCAAATAAACTCATTAGGTAAACTTTGCCATTCCTTCAAGGTTTTACTGTTAATTACGAAGGGAATGTTCATTAGTAAATAGGTAAGTTTTGGATATTATCATCATTTTAATGGCATTAATGCAGGCTAGAATACCAAGATTGACAATCTGCCATAACAAGAGTTTTTGTTTAATGTCAAATGTTACTGGTTTTAAGTCATCTTTTAAAATATTTGCATTGTCATGACTAATCTTGAGGTAAGTAGCATTTTTTCCAGTCACTTTCATCTTTTTTATCCAGTTTGAAGAATCCAAACTTGACAACATGTCATTAAAAGGTAAGGCTTTCCCCCCCCCCTACATTTAACATAGACTGACACAGCTGAAAAGGAGTAAAGTATAGACTAGCTGAGCACTGGATTCAACAATACTAGTTAAAAAGATTACATCATCTGCATAAAGCATCAATGTATGGTATTCGTTATCCAGTTTTACACCTGTTATTGAGTCAGAATCTCTTATTGCTATTGTTATTAACTCTACGGATAAATTAAATAACAAGACCAAAACAGGATACCCTTGCTTTTCTCCTTGATTTACAAGAATTAGGTTTCACAAGATATAACGGAGAGATAAATGTGTTCTGGAAGTTTCATAAATGAATTTTGCCCATGCCTTAACTGTTCACTGAACCCAAAAGCCTAGAAATGTTTCAAAGCCTTTTTTATCTGCATGTATGTATCTGGATACAACCATCTTTAACCCGTTTGCAAACAGAGATGTAAGGTTTTTGTAATCATAGTTCTGTATGCTGATGGGATGGCAACAGCTCACACCAGTATAACTAGTATTCTGGACTCTGACCAAGAGGGTGATAATATCCTTAACACACAATTTTTGTTTATCGCAGCAAGCAAAGGCTGAACAAATGTTTCTATAAATTGCTGGTAAAAATCTGGTGAAGTACCGTCAAACCCCAGAGAATTTGAAAAACATTTAATTCCTTCATTAATTTCCTGGGTTCCATTTGCCCCCCCCCTTATTGTGATAATGTAAGGATGTCCATTTTTGTAACAAATTCATTAATTTGACTCAAATTAGGATTCTGAGAAGAGTACAGATTAACATAATAAAATAATAAAAATCACCAAACTCTTGCAATATTGTTCTGTATGTGTTACTATCTTACCTTTCTTATTCTTTATGGCAGCAATTGTACATATTCCCCTTCTTTTACTCAAGTTGTAGGTCAAAAACTTATTACCTTTGTTGCCTTATTTAAAGAATCACTGACATTCAAATACCAAATTTTTGTTTATTTTCTCAGCCTCCTTGTAAGGCTTTCCTTACTCCTTTATTCCTTTGTAAGTCTGGGGGCTATGACCTTTTTTGTGGTTCTTTTAATTGCTCTAAACAGTTTTCCAGGAGAGAAGGCAACAAGGTATAGCCTGATCTCAAAAGCTAAGCAGGGTTGATACTTGGAAGGGAGACCACTGGGGAAGGCTCTGCAAAGGCCAACCACCTCTGCTTCTCAATTGCCTTGAAAGCTCCTGGCTGGGGTTGCTGTAAGTTGGCTGCAATTTGATGTCACCTTACACACACAAATAGCTCTGTTTCTCTCTTTGTCTTTTCCTTGTCAGTTCTGCAGCCATAATTATGGCTCTTTTTTAATTTCTGTGGTTAGATTAAGGTTTCTGTTCAAAGCAAGATTTCTCCAAGAGTTTATAACATTTCAACCCTTTGTGGACTCTGTGGTTCTCTTCGAGGTGTGAAATACAAGAAAAGCTCTCGTCACCGGCTGAGCAGTTACATGGTTTCTCCTCCTGAGAATCCTTTGATGTCATTGAAAGGAGAAACTGAGAGTGAAGCTCTTTCTATTCTCTGAGTATTCAAAAAATTTCTCCTCATATGGGCTCTTAGATGCCGCTGAAGATTGCAACTCCTATTGAATTTCTTTCCACAATCTGAGCATTCGAAAGGTTTCTCCCCTGTGTGGGTTCTTAGATGCCGTTCAAGATAGCCACTCCAGTTGAAACTCATTCCACACTCTGAGCATTCAAAAAGTTTCTCCCCTGTGTGGTTTCTTAGATGCTGTTGAAGATGGAAACTCCTACTGAATTTCTTCCCACACTCCGAGCATTCAAAAGGTTTCTCCCCTCTGTGGGTTTTTTGATGCTGATGAAGATTGCCACGCTGACTGAATTTTTTACCACACTCTGAGCATTCAAAAGGTTTCTCCCCTGTGTGGGTTCTTAGATGCTGTTGAAGATTGGAACTCATACTGAATCTCTTTCCACACTTTGAGCATTCAAACGGTTTCTCCCCTCTGTGGTTTTTTTTATGCTGATAAAGATTGCCACGCTGACCGAATTTCTTTCCACACTCTGAGCATTCAAAAGGTTTCTCCCCTGTGTGGGTTCTTAGATGCTGTTCAAGATTGGAACTCATACTGAATCTCTTTCCACACTCTGAGCATTCAAAAGGTTTCTCCTCTGTGTGGATTCTGTGATGATGTAGAAGATTTCCACTCTGACTGAATCTCTTTCCACACTCTGAGCATTCAAAAGGTTTCTCCCCTGTGTGGATTCTTAGATGCTTTTGAAGATTGGAACTCACAGTGAATCTCTTTCCACACTCTGAGCATTCAAAAGGTTTCTCCTCTGTGTGGGTTCTTTGATGCAAAAGGAGCGCAGATCTGTACTTGAAATACTTTCCACACGGAAAGCATTTATGTGCCTTCCCATCAGAGAAACTCTTACCACTCTCTGAGCAGATAAATGGCTTCCCTCCTGAGGCTGCAACACTAAGAACACTTTCCCAGGGGTAAGGCCCATGGAGAAAAAAGGGGTTTACTTCTGAGTAGGCTTCCTTAAGATTCCTCTCTGAATGAACTATCTGGTGTTGAATAAGCTTTGTTTTCTCTGAGAACCTCCTGCCGCAGTCTGAGCAGCTATATATTTTCTCAGCTATATGGATTCTTTGGTGTCTCATGAGCTCTTCTCCACAAAGGAAGCTCTTTCCACACTGCAGACATTTATGGACCTTTCCAGGGTGCTTTTGCAGATGGATATTATATTGAGTTTCATCTGAGAAGTCCAGTCCACACTCCAAGCCTTTGTATGTTTCCTTCACCATGGAAATTACTTCACAGAAATGCCCTTCTTGGCAAGGAAGGGCATTACCCCTTGTCTTCTCTGTGTGGCTTCCCTCCTCCTTCTGTGGTCTGTCTTGATCCCTGAAGTTACATTCAGACTCTTGGTCTTTGTCTTTTTCCAGTGAAAGCCCCTGAAATTCCCTAACCGTCTTCTCTACATCACCTGCTGGAATAAAGAGAGAGGTCCAATCACCACTCACCCAAGAAGCCAAGCCACCAATCAGGGACTCCTGATTAATGGGTGTGCATTTTGTTTCCTGACCCACTGGTCAGAACCTTTCCTTGGCCAGCCTTCCAGTAGAGCTCTTTTTATATTCTGACTATTTCTCCCCTCCCCAAAACTCCTGAAATGTACTTTAAGGGAAAAGGTGGCAAAGATTAGTTCCTCCCGCCCTCACATTTGCCTTGCCATGCAGGTCTTTTGATGATCAAATACAAAAAGTGATCGTGATTTCAAGTCCTGTGACTGTGCAAACAGTTTTCTTCTAGGTTTGATGAGAGGGAAGAGAAGCTGGTCCCCAGAAAACAGATGTGTGCTTGGGTGGGGAGTTGGGACCTCACGAAGCAAACCACACCGTTGAAAGCTTTTAGAAGTGAAGCCAGTTGATGGGGGGGAGAGGGGAGGCTTGGAGACATGTAACTGATCACATTAGGAAACGGTTGACGGGCCTTTGAGTCATCCAGCAAAGCTGTTCTTAAGTAAACACCTCACCTTTCCCTGGAATATCCGGTATGTAAGGATACTGCAGCCCCTAAAGGGGCTAAAGGAGTCACAACTGAGCTCAGCCACACGAAGGAGTCCCAAGATCTCAGGCCCCAGAAGACCTCCTTCCCTCCTTACCCAGAAGGCTTTATAATTCTTTCCCCACACAGACACCAAAGAGCACTTCGGTTGGGGTCACAACACCGCCTAGTGACGCCAGGCCCCAAAGAGGCCAGGATTGCGACCACAAGGGAATATCGGGGCCCATGGCATCCCCCCCCCTTTTTTGACCCCATTGGGATATGCAATAGGAAGTAAGTATTGTAGTCATTATGTATCCTGTGAGCAGTGTTCCCTCTAAGCTGAGTTAGTGTGAGCTAGCTCACAGTTTTTTAGCCTCCAGCTCACAGATTTTTGTCTTAGCTCAGGAAGGACGGCTCCAGAGCAAACTAATTTACGCAGTAGCCAAATCGCTGGCTCACAGCTTTAATGCCGGTAGCTCACAAAGTAGAATTTTTGCACACAAGACTCCACAGCTTAGAGGGAACATTGCCTGTGAGATGTGCATTTTTGCCTAAACTGTTTTAACTGTTGACTTTTACTGCACTTGTGCCTTAATTGTTTTAACTTGTTGTATTTTTATCGCACTTTTGTGCCTGTGTAGGCCGCCCTGAGCATGCGTGCAGGGAGGGCGGTGTATAAATAAAATAAATAAATAAATAATAAGTTCTACCCAACCAAGAGTTGCTAAGAAGTGAAACAAAAATTCGCCATGGCTCTCCTTTGCCCATTCCCTTGACGCAACGATGGAGCAAACTCACTCGGAGCCGGCTCACTCAGGATGAAGCAAACTCACTCGCCCACCTGTCTCCACTGTAGCCTCTCTTACATCCCTACCTTCTTTGGGAGAGAGACAGGGAGAGAAAAGAGGAGGGAGAGCGACACAAGGCCTTTGTCTGTCTCCACCTCAGGCCATGACACCCACCCTGGCTCTCGAGGTGGCCACAACACTGGTTGCAGTTGCCCCTGGACCAGCCACATGGGTTGGGTTGCTCCACCACACTATGCTGTATGCTGCTTTCGCTGCCACCTCAGCTCCTGGACTCCCCCAGAGAGGGTGAGTACAGGGCCAAGTCTCACAATGACATACTGCTGTTCAGTATTTTTATTACTGCAGTAGTTTGTATCTTTGGCACCTACGAAAGATCCTTACCCAGAGAGGCCACGCTCCCAAAGTTGTCCAGCATGACTTCCACGTAGAGAGCTCTTTGGCCCGGATCCAGCAGGGCCCACTCGGCCTCGGTGAAATACACGGCCACCTCCTCAATAGAAATTGGACACTGGAAGAAAAAGCAGATTTCCTCATCAGAGATTGTGCCAAGCAAGACTGTACTCTGGAAGGGGGTTAGGATGGAGAGCTTGGCAGGGGTAAAGAGAGTGGTGTTCAGAGCCTCTCTTGCTCAGACACCTTAGAAGCAACCCAGGAGCAAAAGCCCTCCTGAGAAAGAAGGGGGAACTCAGGCTGTCCCCTGCTCATCTCCCCTACCTGGACGACAGGGCCAGCAGCGATTTGTACTTCTCTGCAGAGATGATGGCTCCACACCTTCTCTTCACTACCTGTGAGGGAGACAACATTGGAAGAAAGGGTATTATAGCCTATACATATTTTGTTTGCTTAGTTAAATCCTGCTTCATGCACCCCAGTCCTCAGGGCTGTGAAACCTTGCCCCGTGTACACTCAACAAAATGCGTAATGATTTTTAGTAAACTGAGGGAGAGGTGGAAGGGAAGCACCAGGTTCCCACAAGCCTCAGGGGGGTTATAAACGCTGCAGACACATTTCAGACTCCTGTGACTTGAAACTTGTCCTGTGTTACTCCAGAGCTCAAAAATGTGACAGCATCCTTGCTCAATCAGATTAAATGCCCAGGCACACCATTCTCCCTCTGACTGGGCCCTCCCATGTGACCTTGAGTCTGGGCTCTCAGGAGAAGGGGGGGGGGTAGAAACGACATCAAATGATGTGTCGCCATCACATCTGTCTGAAAACCCAGACATGACATTAGCGCGTCAGAAAACTCAAGGGTGATATCAAGGGTTTTCTCGAGTGTCTGCTGATGCTCTGACATCACGTCTAGGTTTTCAGTCCCAGAAGTCCACTCTGTATTGTGTGCAAAAGAATTTCCTTTTTCTCCTGTCCTGAACCTTCTATCTAACAACTTCAGAATGTGCCCAAATCTGGGCACAAGGCACCCTTACCATGTGAGAGGGCCTCCTGGGCACGCTCCTGGGCCTGCACCTTCTGCTGTTCCTCCCAAGGAGATCCCTCCTCCTCAGAGAACTTCGTTTCCATCTCCGCAGATGGTCCCCTCATCTGAAACAGCAGCAAGAGATACGGGCAAGAGGAGAAATGCTAAAGGCCAAGGAGACGAATCTTTCTCCATTCCCATTCCTCACCCCTGCATCCAAAAACACAGCAGCTTCAACCACAGCAGCAATATCAGGGTTGGGTTTTCTTTCAACCCGGATCAACTGTCTAAAGAGACACATATCAGACAGGGAGGCCTTAGGCTAAGGTCAAAGATTCTTTTGTGCCTGTGTAGGCCGCCCTGAGCATGCGTGCAGGGAGGGCGGTGTATAAATAAAATAAATAAATAAATAATAAGTTCTACCCAACCAAGAGTTGCTAAGAAGTGAAACAAAAATTCGCCATGGCTCTCCTTTGCCCATTCCCTTGACGCAACGATGGAGCAAACTCACTCGGAGCCGGCTCACTCAGAATGAAGCAAACTCACTCGCCCACCTGTCTCCACTGTAGCCTCTCTTACATCCCTACCTTCTTTGGGAGAGAAAAGAGAAGGGAGAGTGACACAAGGCCTTTGTCTGTCTCCACCCAGGGCTCTTTTTGTAGCAGGAACTCCTTTGCATATTAGGCCACACCCCCTAACGTAGCCAATCCTCCAAGAGCTTACAGTGCTCTTCTTACAGGAGCTACTGTAAGCTCTTGGAGGATTGGCTACATTAGGGGGGTGTCGCTTAATATGCAAATGAGTACCTGCTACAAAAAGAGCCCTGACTGGTCCCACCCTGGCTCTCGAGCTGGCCACAACACTGGTTGCAGTCACCCCTGGACCAGCCACGTGGGTTGGGTCGCTCCACCACACTATGCTGTATGCTGCTTTCGCTGCCACCTCAGCTCCCGGAGTCCCCCAGAGAGGGTGAGTACAGGGCCAAGCCTCACAATGACATACTGCTGTTCAGTATTCTTATTACTGCAGCAGTTTGTATCTTTGGCACCTACGAAAGATCCTTACCCAGAGAGGCCACGCTCCCAAAGTTGTCCAGCATGACTTCCACGTAGAGAGCTCTTTGGCCCGGATCCAGCAGGGCCCACTCGGCCTCGGTGAAATACACGTCCACGTCCTCAACGGAAACTGGACACTGGAAGAAAAAGCAGATTTCCTCATCATAGATCGTGCCAAGCGAGACTGTATCTGGAAGGGGGTTTGGATGGAGAGCTTGACAGGGGTCAAGGGAGTGGCGTTCAAAGCTTCTCTTGCTTGGACACCTTAGAAGCAACCCAGAAGCAAAAGCCCTCCTGAGAAAGAAGGGGGGACTCAGCCTGTCCCCTGCTCATCTCCCCTACCTGGACGGCAGGGGCAGCAGCCGTTTGTACTTCTCTGCAGAGACGACGGCTCCACACCTTCTCTTCACTACCTGTGAGGGAGAGAACATTGGAAGAAAGGGTGTTATAGCCTATACATATTCTGTTTGCTTAGTTAAATCCTGCTTCGTGCACCCCTGTTCTCAGGGCTGTGAAACCTTGCCCCATGTAAGGTAAAGGTAAAGGTTCCCTTGCTCGAAAGCCAGTCGAGTCCAACTCTAGGGTTGCGGTGCTCATCTCCATTTCAAAGCCGAAGAGCCAGCGCTGTCAGTGGCTATTAGGCACAAGGTATAGATAGGGGCTCTGGGGCAAGTGATGCTCTGTCATCTTGGTGCTTGGGGAGGGGGGTCAACAGTGGGAGGGCTTCTAATGTCCTGGCCTCACTGGTGGACCTCCTGATGGCACCTGGTATTTCTGGCCACTGTGTGATACAGAGAGTTGGACTGGATGGGCCTTTGGCCTTATCCAACATTGGTGTCTCTTATGTTCTTATGAATTCCGCTCCACAAATCTGTTTAATTCTCCCTTTAAGTGAGTGGCCACCATTACATCCTATGGCACCGAGTCCCAGAAGTCCACTATGTGTTGTGTGCAGAAGAATTTCCTTTTTCTCCTGTCCCGAACCTTCTATCTAACAACTTCAGTATGTGCCCAAATCTGGGCACAAGGCACCCTTACCATGTGAGAGGGCATCCTGGGCACGCTCCTGGGCCTGCGCCCTCTGCTGTTCCTCCCACGGAGATCCCTCCTCCTCAGAGAACTTCATTTCCATCTCCGCAGATGGTCCCCTCATCTGCAACAGCAGCAAGAGAGACAGGCAAGAGGAGAAATGCTAAATGCCAAGGAGATGAATCTTTCCCCATTCCCATCCTCACTCCTGCATCCAAAAACACAGCAGCTTCAATCACAGCAGCAAGAATCAGGGTTGGGTTTTCTTCCAACCCTGATCAACTGTCTGGAGAGACACAAATCGGACAGGGAGGCCTTAGGCTAAGGTCAAAGGTCACAGCTTGAATGGACCTATGAAGCTCCCTCACCTGCTCGGCCTGCCGCTTCTCCTCTGCCTGACTCAGGAGGAAACCTTCAGCCAGGGCCACCGCCTGGGAACTGGTCTCTGGCCCACACCCTCTGACCCAGCGCTGCATTTCCATGGGCAGGATGGCCAGGAACTGCTCCAGGATCACCAGGTCCAGGATCTGCTTCTTGGTGCGCTTCTCTGGCTCCAGCCACTGGTTGCAAAGTCCATGGATCTGGCTGCAAACCTCCCGGGGCCCAGCAGCCTCATGGTAGGAGAACTGCCGGAAGCACTGGCGTTGTTTGTCTGAGATCCCAGTGTCCTGATGCATGATCTCCAGCACAGCTCTTTCCCAGAATTCAACACCAGTCCCCGCCTGGATGGGGTGGGGGTCTTTCATCAATCTCTTGCCAATTCCTGGTCCTTCTGGGTCCTGCTCTTCCATCTTCTTCCTCTTCTATTGGGTCACCGCCAACTGCAAAAAGATTATTTTACTTACTTGGTATGAAGAGGGAGAGGGGAAAATATCAAAAAGGCAGAAAGAAACCTCAAGAGGATGGCGCTACTTCACCGACCCTCGTCAGGACACACCCAAGATTGCCCTGCTGGATCAGGAGGAACATCCTTCTTGTGGTTTGCAGATCAGGCTTAAGGTCATTGTGTTATGTTAGATATCGAGCTTTTAAAGATATGCATGTTTGGCCCTTTCAGAAACTAAATTGTCCCTAAGGACAAGGTTCAAGTCCAGTGGCAACTTTAAGACCAACGAAGTTTTGTTCAAGGTATAAGTTTTTCCCGTATTCTAGTTTGAGACTTTAAGCACTATACTATACTGGCTTTTGTGGGGTGGCTGATGTTTAACAGTGGCAGTTGGTCTCAAAGGTGCCACTGGACCAATGTTCCCTCTAAGCTATGGAGTCCTGTGAGCAAAAATTCTACTTTGTGAGCTACTGACATTAAAATTGTGAGCAGGTAGTTTGGCTACTGCATAAATTAGCCGCCCTGAGCCTGCCGCCCTGAGCCTGCGTGCGGGGAGGGTGGGATATAAATGGAATTAAATAAAATAAATAAATAAATAAAAATAAAATTAGCTTGCTCTGGAGCCCTCCTTCCTGAGCTAAGACAAAAAATGTGTGAGCCGGAGGCTAAAAAACTGTGAGCTAGCTCACACTAACTCAGCTTAGAGGGAACACTGCACTGGACTCTAAATTTGTTGTACTGCTTCAGACCAAGACAGCTACCCCCTGAATCTGTCCCTACTTGGCTTTTCTAAATGTTTGGTCTCTGATGACTGGGCACCAGCAGTCTGTCCCAGGGGCTACGTCTCAAAATCAGCTCAACCCAAGACCAAAGAACTGATATTAACTATTGCAGGCGCTTCCTCAGTAGGCCTGAAGCATTAGGCAAGAGCCCTCTCCAACAGTTTGCAGAGGGGAGTCACGCCTCTTCCAGGTTAAGCACAAGGGCTGCTGGGATGAACAGGTGCAGGGGAAAAGCAAGGAGCACCCAAGGAAGCTGCAGATGGGGGGGCACTGTCCCAAATGCTTGGCATGCAGAATGGCTCAACCCGTGTAATCACACTTGGGACTCCTGGATTGCCAAAGCAGCTTTGAGTTCTTGCTGGCATCGCCCTTAGTACGACCCGAACCCACGCCTCCAGTTTGCCATCGAAGACTCTCCCCAGTGAAGAATGGGGTGGGGTGGCAGCCACAATGTTCCCTCTAAGCTGTGGAGTCTTGTGAGCAAAAAATTCTACTTTGTGAGCTACTGGCATGAAAGTTGTGAGCGAGCGATTTGGCTACTGCCTAAATTAGTTGTTCTGGAGCCATCCTTCCTGAGCTGAGACAAAAATGTGTGAGTTGGAGGCTAAAAAACTGTGAGCTGGCTCACACTAACTCAGCTTAGAGGGAACGCTGGTGGCAGGTACACATTCTGTGACTGTGTACTTGTGTTTCCTCCCACTGCATCCTCCTCCCTGGGGTCTGCAGGTCTTTCGCCTGGCCAAAGGCTCCTGTGGCTAAGTCCTCCCACCCAAACCCCAGGGGCAGGGGAGGGGACTGGGCATTCTGCCCACAGCTGCCTCCGCCAAGTGCCCTGCCGAGACATGGCGCCGGGCAATGTGGTTGGAATAGCTGAGTTTCCTTCCCTGTGCATCCCCTTGGCAAAACACTGCTGCAGGAGGGGACTCGAACCTGTTAAGTCGCGAACTTAACAAAGAGTCGGGAGAGTGATTCAGCAAGAATGCGGCTTTTATTCTTCAACTCGAACTCACTTCCAATATGGATCAACATCAGTCAGCCAGAACAGCTTTAACATAGCAGCTGCTCTGTATTTAAACATTCCCGGCTAATATAGCCACGCCTACTGTACATTTCACAACCAATGCGGTTGAACCTATAAAGGCCAATCACGAACGTTCCCGCTCAGGGAGCTTCTTCATGGTGATTGGATATTGCTTCCTGGGCTAGTGTTCCTATTGGTTCCATTAGGATCCTAGCCCAGGACGAAGCTTAACATGAGATGGCAATGAGATGATTCATATTACATTCAGTACATGCATTCAAGTCAATTAGAATACACTACAGAACCCACATCCCCCTGGTGTGTGTTTACTCCAGGGGTCCTGTTGGTGAGGCCACGATCCTCATCAGGATGTGTTCCCAGGTGCCACTGGTGCCTCCTGGCCTTCTGGATGTGGGCAGGCTGTGATCAGGGGACCTGGCTCTCTGCCTGTCATAGGGGAGTCGCCTTGTGCTGTGACTGGTGGGCGTTGCTGCTGTTTCCATGAACACCAGTGGTGTTGCTAAGCTGTGTTTTGTTTTGTTTTTAAATTTCCCTCTCCTCGGGGGGGCCTCAGATACCCAGCTAGCAGCCTCAGCTCCACACTGGCACCACATCAGGGTCTTAGGATGGGACTGTGGTCGATTCCCATTCAGGCAGGAGTCATCGTCTCCCCCCCTCACACCAGAGAGAATGCCCCTTTTCACTTATGGAGCAAAAAAGGGGGAGGGCTCTCCTCTCCAACAGAATTAAAATGACAAGCAACAGAACTCCAGTTTCATACATACATTTTTCCTTGACATCAGGGGTCATTTCCTGCAGGAGCGCACAGGAGCGGTGCTCCGGCAGTAAAGAGCCCAGGGGGCAGGCAAATGCAACAAGCCCCACCCCCTCAGTCAGAGCAAGAAGCAGCCAGGTAAGCTGCAGAGCCCCGGCCCCCCAGCCCAAAACAGTCCAGTGGCACCTTTAAGACTTGGTTTTATTCAGGTACAAGCTCTCCCTCCTCTGCGACGACAGATCTGCACGTCTCCCCCCCCCCCTGATCCGCCCGCCCCCCCCCCCCCCAATAGCTAGCAATCCAAAACAGTCCAGTGGAGCCTGAGCAGTGGGTGTTGCCTTCTGACACACTTCCGGTGATGTCAGGGGGTGTGGCATATGCAAATGAGTTATGCAAATGAGTTGTGCTAATGAGCTCCTGCACCTCTTTTTCTACAAAATGACCCCTGCTTGTAGTTAAAGACGCTGATTATCCCACCCCCCACACCACCCCCACTAACATAACTGAGCAAAACTGACACCCAGTAGGGTTGCCAGCCTGCAGGCGGGGCCTGGAGATCTCCCAGAATTATAGCTGATCGTCAGAGTAGCTAGATCCAGGTGAGCAGCCCTGCGGGCCTGAAGCAGCAGAACAAAGTCAAGAGTCCAGTGACACCTTGAAGACCAACCAAAGTTGTATTCAAGGTGTGAGCTTCCCTGGGCACGCACACTTCCTCAGATACATGGAAACGGAAGGTTAAACAGCTCCTTTGATACATGTAGAGGGTGAACAGCAAATCAGCACACAAACAGAATGATGAATTTTAACAGATGCAAAAACTAAAGAGGAAAAATAAGCTAAGTTTACATGGTCACCGTTTGTTTGGATTCCGTGACAGGGAAACCGCAGAAAATATGTCAAAATGGGAGGCTGACTGTAAAAGTATCCTACTTCATTGTGGAAGGCTAAGAATGGTCAACCCAGACCACCCTCCTCGCTCCCCTGGTCTCCTTCCAAGAATGGAGGGTTCCCTCTAAGCTGTGGAGCCTTGTGAGCAAAAATTCTACTCTGTGAGCTACTGGCATTAAAGTTGTGAGCAAGCGATTTGGCTGTTGCATAAATCAGTTTGCTCTGGAGCCCTCCTTCCTGAGCTAAGGCAAAAATGTGTGAGCCAGAGGCTAAAAAACTGTGAGCTAGCTCACACTAACTCAGCTTAGAGGGAACAGTGGAGGTAACTAACAGCATCCAGAGCAAAGAAGGGTTGTCCAGAGGTATGTCTCCACTCCTGTGTCACCTGATCAGAGAAATACACTACAATATTCATTGCATTATATTACAAACCTCAGAGTTGTGTGTGTGTGTGGGGGGGGGGTATTCCTTCATTGCAGGGTAGGTTCTATGGTACTAGACTCCACTGAGCGCCCTCCCTCCCCAGGCTCTACCGCCACACACAAAAAAAAGTCCAGGAATTTGCCGTCCAAGAGCTGACAACCCTACGATTGACCGTTTTTGCAGAATTAACATTACAAGCAACTGAACGTCAGTTTCACACACTGAATTTTTCTTGCACTTAAAAACACAGATTAATCCCCCACCACTACCAACCCTACCCTATTTACAGGGGGGGGGGACCGATGCCAACAGCGGTATTCCTCTCTTCCAAGATCGAATACCTGACTCCCCGCCCCGCCGATGACCTACTTGCGAGTAAACCTTCCCTGGCTCCAGCTGCAAAGCCCTGCCTCTCTTTTGGCCATTCAGAAGGACACACACACCCCACCCCGCAGCGGAAGAGCCTGTCTTTTTTTAGGCTCCCTCCTTGCTCGGCCTCTCTAGCAAACAGCTCTGTCCCTTTAACCTTTTCAGTGCTAGACAGCATACATTCAAATGCTTCCCATCCTGCCCTTCCCAAGCGTAGCGACACCGAGACCCGGACAGACCGACCGGACTTCAGCCAGGCTGCCGCCAGCCATGCCCTCGAGGAATCTCGCACAGGGCAGGGCTGCGTTCCCCATGCTGCTCAGTCAGTCATCTCAGAAAACAGGGCAGGGTTTGTTTTTTGTGTTTTTTTGGGGGGGGGCTGAAGGATTTTGTGGCTTATGGGGCAAGATTTTTTCTGGTGGGGCTGCCTGGTGGTTAAGTGTGCGGACTCCAATCTGGGAGAACCGGGTTTGATTCCCCGCTCCTCCGCTTGCATCTGCTGGATGACCTTGGGCAAGCCAGTCAGAGTTGTCCTTAAAAGGGCAGTTTTCAAGAGAGCTCTCTCAGCCCCACCCACCTCACAGGGTGTCTGTTGTGGGGAGGGGGAGGGAAAGCAGTTTGTAAACCGCTCTGAGACTCCGAGTGAAGGGCGGGGTATAAATCCAATCTCTTCTCTTCTTCTTCTTTTCAAGGCACCCTTGATGCTT